CTTTTCTTTTATATATTTTTTAATATATTTTTATATCAGTCTTAATTTTCATACAATGTATGCTTTATCATCTTGTGTATGGTCCCCAAGGAGTTCCCACCACCAATTCATCCATGCACCATCACGGTAGTCCCTGTGTTCTTTCCACCCATTTTGATCCTATTTCCTCCTCCGCCCCCCCTCCCAAGAATGTCTTTGGTTTATAGTTGCCCATTTACTTTGATTTTTACTTTGTTATAATTATTTCTCCCTCCCCCGCATCCCTTATTTGAGTGTCCTACATTCCTCTTATAAGAGAAACCATCCAGTATTTTTTTTCCTTTCTGGCAAATTTCATTGAGCATGATCCCTTCCAGCTCCACCCATGTTGCTCTGAATGGCATGAGTTCATATTTTTGATTGCTTAGCAATATTCCAGCATGTATATGAACCACATCCTCTTAATCCAGTCATCCAATGACTCTTTCTGAAATGCCTGTGTCTCTCTCCTGAGAGGAAGCTGTTCACTCTTCACTACTCAGGAATGCTAGACGTGCATCCAGAAACCTTCTTCATTCTTAATATTTTATAAGTCGACTTTACAGCTGGCAGCCTCCCTAGCCTCCAGTCTCTGAGGGGGGTCATTGGGGAGACAGCAGCATGTCTGTGACAGACTGTGCCAGCTGCTGACCAAATGGGGACAAGCAGAGGATTTGGACATGAGAAGAGAATGAACCCAAGCCATTTCATTTTCCTAAGTCTCCAGGAGATTCTTAGTATGTGGAAATAATTCTCATAGTTGGTTTTTAAGTAATTAAGTATCTTGAGATTCTTCATGAAAGAAGTCAATGGCAAGTTAACTTGGTCAACAAGATACTAGCAACATGGTTTATTGCCCTTTCTTTTCCCAGAAAGTCTGCAGTCACCACTCACCTATTCCATCACTGTCAGAAAGGAGTCACCTTCTGCTACTGCTAGTTGGTCGCAGAAATGTGCTGGCAGAAGAGGGCTGAGCATGCAAGCTACAAATGAGCAAGCAAAAACTAAGGTACCAAGGGGAGAGGGAAAGGGCGCCATCATTATCACATCATGCCATCCTCTTTCTGCCCCCTAGAGGATGGGAGCATGACTTACTCTTCCTTGTACATCTGGCATCTAGACATGAGGTTGGGTTCTGTGGAATTAAATGTTGGTTGAGTAAATGAATAAATGAGTAAATGAGTATACTCTCAGAACAGTATTCAGGGCAAGGCATTCTAGCAAGAAGTGACCCATTTGTATCAACTATGTATGAAGGAAAATCTACTTCTTATGGACACAACTTCATAGGTTACTAAACATGGTAACATGGTTACTAAAGTAATTTTTAACTCTGAAGTTTAGAAAATATAGGAAAAATTCTTCCTATATCAGGGCTTACATAGGAAGAGTATAATAGGTCACAGTCAGATTTGCTTAGTCAGGTACTTTTCATTCTAGGTAAGTGTCATTCCTGATTGGCAGATAAGTAGTCATCTCTGGAATGGCTTGGGAGATTCACCTTCAATTCCTCTGCACTTTGAGCTGAGTTACAGAGTAACCTGCCTGCAATCCTGCTAGAATTCAAAGACTGTTTAATTAGAGCAAAGTCCACAAAAAGTTTCAGCAACTTGTGCTCAGCAAAGGCCAGATTCCCAGAAGAAAACTAGTGCGGACTCTGGGGAAAGCGGCCTACATCCCCAGTGTACACCCCACTGGGCCAGGGGTCTGTGCAAATGAAGATGAGCTCCCTGCTGTCAGAGTTCATGAGAGAGCTCCCCAGCTGGTTCCTGCTCTCTGGAGTCTTCCTGCCTGTGACTTTGCTGCTGCTCCTTCTCATTGCCTACTTCAGGATCAAACTGATTGAGGGTAAGTTTGAAGCTACATAAGGCAGGGTAGAAGTCCTCCCCCAGGCATGCCAGTGGGAGAAGCAAAAGTGCTGACATGTTTCTGGGAGGCGGGGAGAAATACATCTCTTTGATTGGTAGGTACTTCTCAATAAGCTTTCCCTCGAGCTATCTCATTGGAGAAATTGGCAAAGTTCGAACCCTTCAGCGGTGTGGTTTTGCCACAGGCTCTGAATGCCTGCCGTAAGGGACCTCTACCTGTAGCCTCTCATAGACAAACTAAGTCAGCAGTTTGGACATGGAGTGGCTTGTTCTTGCTCTCAGGTCAAGTCATTAGCAACATTATGTCTTTACAGCCTACCTTCTCTAAGAGTTGGGTGTGTGTATATCTGTGAGTGTGGGAACACACAGTTCTTCTCAGCCACTCTAGATTAAGAAACTGTACCAAGGAGAAGATGAATACTGAATGGTATCACTTATATGTGAAATATGGAGAATTCAAATTAAAAGCTGAAGACAAGTTTAAAAATAATTAACTTTTGAAATATGACAATAAAACTGAAGTGTCCAGTGAAGAAGGCATGAAGGGAAGGGTGAGAGCAGAGAGGCAGAACATTGGACGATGATGGTGGACCATGGCTGAGTTGGCGTTGGATACAGTATGGTAGCGATACCTGACAGGAGGACCCCATCATTGGACAAGCTCAGCAATAATGTCTGTTACCCAATTTAAAAAATAAGAGTTAAACAAACTGATCTATCATTTGTCTCAAGAGAAAGAGGATGGGGGGAGGGAGGGAGGGAGGGAGAGAGGAAGGAAGGGAGGGAGGGAGTAATATTGTGCCATCAGTGTTTGGCAAATACCAGACACTTACAGATAATTGATGATTTGGTGTAAACTTCCTATGAAACTATAGTCTGAAGGTACAAAAATTCAAAACAACTAAAAAACCAAAAACTCAGGAAAGTTAAAGTGATTTGGACATAAGCAGCTGGGTCATGAATTGAGATTATTTAATCTGCTGTAATCAAAATGAAAGAAATTGGACAGTGACTTGATAAACTATGTATTAATATAGCAGCTAGCAGAATAATATAATGGATGCTAGTAGCCATTTTTGCAACATCAATAAAAAAGCAATAACATTTCTTAAGGTGGGTAGATATATATAAAAATCAGGCTTGAAAGTTCCTCCTATACTACAAAAAATTTGGCAAACCCAGTGATGCCTTAATGGATTTTTGTTACATAAGCAAGATGTTCCAAATCTTGAACATTACCCTAAAATCAAAGTGCAGTTGGGGCTATTTTATTTCTAATAGGAGACTTAGAACAAAAGAAAATCTAGAGGATAGAGAACATGGAATTTGTAAGTATTCAATCGCAACATATTAAAAAATCCCTTCATCTCTCGTCTCATCCTTATGAACAGCTCTCTTGTTGTGTGACTGGCATGTTCTGTTTTGCCCTACACATACATGTGAGAGGTTCTGTTTCATTGTCGAGTTAGTTTGCCTTCCCCTGCTCCAAAACCTGTCCGCTGGAAATTCTGCCATGGTTCATTACCACTGAGCACTGGGAAAGAGCCTCTGAACCAGGAAGATCAGAAATCCCAAGACCCTAACTCAGCATCCTTTCAGAATCTTGAATGTACAGTCACTGCTGTTCTTTCAAAGCTCTTGCAAAGGCCAGCCAGTCACAACATGCCAGGCTTCTCCTCACACCATGTAGAAGGAGAAAAAGAAGCTGGTGGTATAGTCGGGGACTCAGATTCTTCGTGTTGCCTCCAGGTTTTATCTCCTCCTGCTTTACTGGCTTGATAAAACTTTCAGTATCTCAAAAGTGTATCCAGTAATAAATAAAGCAAACAGGGCAAAATAGCCTCATGGATTCCAAAATCTTTTACTATATTTTACTTATCGGTTATTAGAGGTCAGGTCATTCAGCAGGACTGTTGGCATTTGGGACAAACTACAGAAAACAATAAATCATAGTTTTAAGAAACTATACTTACCCTGAGTGACATGGGCGTGGGGACAGCTAGAATTTATAAAAATTAAATAGGTCTACAACATTTCACTTAGATATTTAGATTGTTTGCATTGGTCTGAGGTATCAAGATAGCGGTCTGACTCCTCAGAATACTCTGAAAAAGCCAACTTTCACTTGAGAATGCAGGATGTCAGGGGGTGATACAGGAAACATGCAGGCAAAGTGTGGACCACAGCACTGGGGCCGTGGTCACTGTGAGTCATTGTGACTGTTGCAGGGTGACACCCTCCATCTTCCTCACATCTCCACTGCTGCACAAGGTCTGGAGATCAAGCCTCAGACAAAGCTCACCACCCTGAGTTTTAGCTCAATGGAATTGGAACTGCCTCTGAAGCACAGAGTGCAAGTAGTGGATCCTAGAGACAAAGTCTCACTTCACACTTCTTTCTCCCTTCATTCCAAATTCTAACATGCTGACTTTTCTTGATTTTTGGACTTGCCCAAACTGTGGATCTATTCTTTCACTCTCACACTCTCAATACCCCCTTTTTTTTTTCCCCCAGCTTAGCATCTAATGGTAGGGATCCCAAGGAACTCAGCACACTTGAGAGCCAATATTCCTTTCATTGATTTAGTGGGTTACTCTAAACTTGCAGTTGTGGAGATGTGAGTAGGAAACATTCCCATGGACTCATTCATTCATTCATTCATTTGAGAATCAATATCATATATCAAGGCTTGTCCTAGATACTGGAACAAATTTTTACTATAAACTGAAAGGACTAAAGAACAATCCCAGTCTAGAAAACCAAAAAAAGCTATCTGGCAAAATCATCAGAAGTTGGTAAGAAAGGTTGCAGTTATGCAGATATCTGGTTTTGTTAGATGTTTAGTCAAAGGGCAACAGAATGACCTGCCCTTTCTTTTGTCCTAAAGTTAAAGGGGAGCATTCCCACAAGAGGCAGGAACCCTACACAGGTAAGGGGCACCCCTACAGATGCAATGAGCCTCCATTTTCTGTGGCTATTCTCCATTGCACTGCTTTTGCAGGCTCTCACTGAAGTACAGGTTAGGAGCAAAGAAGGAGTGAATGAAGAGGTGGAAGAAGCATTTTATTGTGGTGAAAACAAAATCTACACATCAGCCACTTAATTCAACAGGGGCACTGGGGGGAAGAATGAACCCTAATGACTAATACCAGGAGTTGGCCAGTGAGCCATCCAGTGGATGTAGGACAAGACCACCCATCCAACTGGCCCAAAGCCATTTCCACGTTGCTGTTTTTCACCCTGTTGCTATAGGGGCCCAGGTGTGGTGACGTGAAGAAAGTGGGGACCTTGTAGGTACCAAGCCAGGGAGCCAGCTGAGGGCAGTCTGAGTTATATGATCCTCTCAAAAGATTTCCAATCTTCCTTTGCTTATAATCCTTTCCTTTCCCAAATGTGACCTGTGCATTGTTTTTCAGTGTAATCCCTGGTCATGGTAACCAGTGTTGAAGACAACCTTAGACTGCATGTTTTCTTTTTTATGTGGATCTGGTTTCCTTTGATTCCAAATTCTCTTTTCTCCTTAACAAAAGAAAAAAGAAACCTCTAAAAACATTTAGCTGTTTAAAATATATTTCTTTCTGTAGCTGTTTTCCTAGGGGCAAGTGGTACTATCTTCTTTCCAATTTGAGGACAAATGAAATCACTTTGTTCCAAATAAAATATTACTAGTTTGTATCTCCATTTAGCAGCTCCTACTTAAAAACTGTAAACAGATGGTCAAATGTCATGTCATTAATCTTCCAACCAAGGTTATGGCAAGTGTAATCATTCCTAGTTTGTTCCTGTAAAGAAAGGGACAATGACAGATTAACCGGTGTGCTCACAGAACCCGAGAGTCTAGCATTCTGAAACAGAGTATCAGTTTGCCTGCCTCATACATCCTGGTCTGTCAGACAAGAGAGGCATTTTAAGATGTGATGGAAAGCATGTGGAGGTATTGTAATTATTCAACATTAATCCTTACACTTCAAGTGTTAAGAGGTAATGGTGCATGTAAATTTAATTAGCATGTGGAGAACATCAATTTTCTCACAAAGGAAGAAAGAAAATTCTCTAACATCCTGAATTCTTCAAACTGTGTCACTTGCCTTGAAGAGCAGCTCTTGAGAAGGAGTCTGGAACTTTCCATTGCCACCCCCTTTATCAGCCACCACCATGGACAATTCACATCTCTTACATGGAAGTTTTGATTATCTTAACTTCCCAAATCCTGAAGTCCTGAGATTCATAAATCTCAATGTTCAGTGTCATTCCTGTGCTTAAAATGCTACCATAGAGATCAAGAGCAAAATGCTCCCTAAAAAAATTAACATTGCCCAAAATTGTCATTACATAAAAAAAAAAATGTGTCTACAGAATGCCTAAAAGTTTGTATGGACTTGGATACAAAATAAGATCAGGTCCGGCCTTCCACAGTTTACAATCTAAAACAAACAATTCAAAGTATTGAAAATGGAAAGGGGGTGAGGCATCTTTCAGGGAATTTCACATTTTAGTAGTTAGAAATCAAAAGGAAAAAAAGTACATGGAGAAATACTTAGGGTTAGCAGAGTGAAACTGCTAAGAACTCATTCTACAGAGTCAAACCAAATGGGATTTGACTTTCAGAAATGTAACAACAGACGCCCTGACTTAACCTCTTAAAGCTCTAGCTCATATAAAATAGAATAGCAGATCATACCGATAGGGTTGGTGTGGGGGTTAAGTGAGGTGATACTATCTATAAGGCTTGACAGCACCTGTTTTGAACAATGATTAGTCCAATTCCCCTGCTGACTTAATTCCAAAGACAATGTTTGTGTTATTATAATAGCTATAATAAAAATTGCCTCAAATGAGGTGGTTTGGTAACATAGATCTGAGGAGGTGTGAGTGATCCCCCTAAATCATATACACTGTTGTAAATCTGTTACTTAAATTTAAAAAATGAAATAAAAATATATCTATATAGCACCTTTAAAAAATTCACATATATATGTGTATACATATATATGGATGGTATTATATTATTAATCTAAAAATGATATAGTTATGAAAAAAAGAAAATAAATTCACCTTATAACATGGAAGAAAACTCCCCAAGGTGACTTACCCAGAAGGTAGTGCTGACTGTCCGGCTGCGAGCACACCTCTCAGCTAGCACGGCCTCTTGAGAATTAAACAGGTATCTGTCAAATAGATAATCCTTTTGGCTCAGACAAATAAACTCAGCACACACTTAAGAGCCAATTGTGGGAGAATTTTAACCAAAGAAAGAATCTTACAAAAGCTTTGAGAAAATTTGATCAATTTCTTTCTATAACAAGAATAATTATAATTATTGATGTGGGCGATTCCTAGACTCCATAGAGAGTTCTAAGTCAAGGACATTGTATTTCTTCATTTGTGAGCCAAAGAACTAACTGACTGCAGAATTTGCTGACTGCAGAATTTTCCATAATAACAAACAGAGGTGTTTCCAAGGGCACCTCGCTTATTTCTCCCTACACACTCCTTAATAGACCCATTGAAATAAAATAATGGCCAAATTGCAAACTCTTTCAGAAGGACACATTCTCTTGTTCTCCACATTGTCTAGCATAAACATGCTAGTCTTTAGACAAATCAAATTATTCTTTTCCCTTTTACCTAACACAGGGTAGATTGAGGAGCTTCCTCTTAGTCTGTATTCTAACTCTTCACTCTTATTTCTTTCAATCTCAATATTCAGGTCACCAATTTTCAGCTCTATAATATGTGTCCTGGTTTCTCATTCAAGGCAGTTTGTCTCTGACTATTAAAAATAAAAGGGAAAATTTAATTGATACTTCAATGGGATTAATATCTAAAACATGAGTCCTCTTAAGCAATACCTTTACACTAGCAATAACTTATGTGAAAAGTAGTGATGATCGCTGGTTGAGAGTGTAGTATCTGGAGTGTAACTACTTAGGATCAAATCCTGAAAGCATCAGCTTCTGTGATCTCAAGCAAATTCCTTCATCTTGATTTCTTTCTGCTTCACTTTACTTATCTGTAAAATAAGAATAATAGTGGGACATATAGCAGGAATTAAATGAGATAAGACATGAAAAGGTATTCACATAGGATCTGGCATCTAAGCGCTCAACAAATATATTAGTTTTTCAGTCTTGAGACTTATGTATGACTCCTTCGTACCGTCCCAATTAGGACAAGCAATTGTGGAAGCCTAGATGAATCCAGGTCAGGTAAAATGCATGTGTTCTGGGACACTTGACATATGAGTGCCTGACCAGAGGTAGCTTGCTTAGATTTTCATCCAAGCCAAAGAGGGCATTTTCAGGTTCAATTCCACAAACATGTGTTACCTCCCATGAGATAATAAACTTCTGGCCTCTAGTTTGGATGACTTGACTAATTATACTGCTTCTAACAAACCTTTTAAGAGTAAAAGTAAATTTGGTTGTGTTGCTGGTGACAGAAAGAGAGATTTGATTTTCTTGATGCACCTGCAAGATCTCAAGAGATACTTACTGGAATCTCAAGAGAAATCTCAGGGCTACAGATCAAATTTTTCATTGCCAGAGAAGTAGCAGTTGGAATCACATGAGCACAGATAGCACACAGAGAGGTCATTTGTGTATAGTAAAAGCCAAAGCAAGGGAATGATGAGGGCACAGAGGCTTGTCATCAAATGAGATGGAGGAAAGAAACTGGGGACTGGAAAGTGACACTTGATTTTGTAATTAGGGTGTCACTGATGAGTTTTAATATTTATTAGACCAGCTATAATTGAAGCTATATTTGAAGACCCTAAGGAGAGTTTAGGGGCAAAAAGATGAAACTCAGTTTTATTTTATTTTTTTTAACGATTTATTTATTTATGCATACAGAACTGGAGTACAGGCCAGAGGTGCAGTGGCAGTGAGAGGATTCACCAGAGACAGAGTGGGGAGCAGAACAGGCCGACTGACGAAGTACATTGCTGAGGGGAACAGCGGGCGGGTCAGGAGAGGTCTGCCACACCATCTGGGTCACCTCCCGGGTGGGAATCGAACTCATGCTGAAGTAGATTTAGCTTCTTAGTGCTGTGGGCTTTAACCCACTGCACCACCAGGGAATACCTGAAACTCAGGTTTATTTTTTAAAGATTTATTTATTTATACATACAGAACTGGGGTACAAGCCAGAGGTGAGGGGTGGGTGGTGAGAGGCTTCACCAGAGACAGAGCGGGGAGCAGAACAGGCAGATCGACGAAGTACACTGCAAGGGGAGCAGTGGGTGAATCGTGAGACGTCTGCTGCGCCATGTGGGTCACCTCCTGGGCTGGGGATTGAACTCACATGGGAGCGGCTGCAGCTAGCTTGCAGTGCTGCGTCCTAACCCTTTGTGCCACCAGGGAGGCCCCAAAACTCTGTTTCAGTAAAATATGTCCAAAGATAAAAGGGAAAAAACTAGTTTGATTTGTCTAAAGACTTAAGTGCCCGAAATTACTTGTTTGGGGAAGGAGTACAGGCAGAAATCCTATCGTATTTCCATATCCCACACCTCTGGTCTATAGACATGATTAGTAAAACTTATTTAATGTGTGTTAGTGAGAAATGGTTTTAGAATATATTTAGCATGCAATAATTTGCATTACAAAATTTATTTGACCACTCTAACCAGGACAATTCTTTAGAATATTTACATTTTGGGTAGGGGTCAGGGAGGTCAGAGAGATCCACAATAGGACTTGCTCCAGGGACCTACTGGTACCATCAAATGTCATCAGGAATGCAGGCGAGACATTGAAATTGATCAATGACACCAAAAATTTGAGAAATTGAAAATAACCAATGGCACTAAGTTATGTACAAAGTATTAACTGATTCTTTTTTACTTCTTTTTTATTTTTTTCAGTTAATGAAGAACTGTCCCAGACTCCCCATCACCAATACAACAATTGCCAACAACGACTTCATGGTGGTCAGGCTGGCTCTCCCATGTACCGGAGAACGAAACAAACATGACTATCAATGGCGAAAGCCTAGTGACTTTCTGCTGGTCAGAGTAATGTCCACAGCTTAGCTATTAAAGTAGGTCCATAAACTAGGACCACCACCAGAACAGGAAGAGGACCAAGATGCTTGTCTGAACCATACTGGTGATGGCTTCTATGAGAACCGGATTAAACAGTGGTTCTTTAGAGAACACCAAGAATGTGTTTTCTTGTGTATCCATTGTGGACTCACATCATAACTTTTCTTTTGTAGGACTGTGCTCTCTGATGGGCATATTTTTAAATTCTTCAGAATCTCTTTTACATAATCCCAAAGAAGCCCACATTATTTTGAGTTTAGAAGTGGGAGATTAAATAGAGAGCATAGGACACCCTTCTTCGGCCCCCTTTGAGAGAATCTCCACTTCCTCCTTTGCAGTGCAACTACTCTTAAATGACTTTATAAATTTCATTTCTGGTCCTGAATTTACTTCTTTTCCCCAAATACTTTCAGAAATCACAGTGTAGGAGCCCAGGAAGAAAACTCCCCCTCCCTCTTTGTTCTTCTCACACTGGTGGAAGTAACAAATTAAGATGAAACAGACAAGTAGGAGAAAAACAGAACAAATTTAATTGCATACAGTCCAAGAATTTACATGGCTGCTAGTTTGTGAGTGAATGGGGTAAAGGCCCTAGGACATTAAGAGAGATGAGGGAGCCTTATGTGACAAGGTGGGAATGACTTATGACAAAAGCCCAGATGTGATAAATGTTTGCCCTGATAGTATTATCTGATAAAAATGAGCTAAATCAGGATGCTTTTCATTCTTTAAAGCAATGTTAACAATTTCTTCTGAAGCCAGCAGGTCCTCATCGGCCTCCGTTCCACATGTCAACATGGGACATGTATTGGGAAAAACCTGCTATGGACATCTTGGAAAAACCTAACTGATCGCTTTGGGGAGACCTATTCTAGGCCATGTGACAGACGACCCATAACATGAATGGTGCCTCCTGACAAGCATGGATCACCAGCAGTGGAGCTATCAGCCCGACATGATGTGGAAATAACTGGCAATTTGATAGGAGAAAGGGAAAAAGCGAACAGAATGGCAACTCGTGGGAAGAATAAGTTAAGCCTCTGCCTCCAAAACCAAAGCAGCAGGGGCTACTTCTAAATATGGGGAGACGTCAACATTTTACTGGGGGGTCCTCTTTTGTGGGAACCTCAAAGAACCAACACAGATAACAACAAACTACATTTAAAGTAAAGTGATAGTTTAAGCAGACTATGATGACTATGTTGCTGTCCACATTTTTCTAGTTAACATCGCTCACAAATGATTACCAAGTCTTCAGCGCAAGTTATAATCCAATCTTGGCCATGAGTCATTAGTGGTTAACTTTATAAAATACAATGAATTTGCTCAGCTGGGGGAAATGCACCACGTGGCACACAATCAGCTTGTATGGAGCAGGTGACCCCCAGCAGAACGCAGCGCAGGTGCTAGCTTGTGCCTCCTCCCTGCCCCCCAACTCAAATTCTTCAAATGCACCTAGTGAGCTATTAGTCTCCTTTGGCACTTCTTACACAACGTGAAAGTCATCATTTGACTGAAGACACTCATTTCTATGTTTTATTACATTTGATTACAATGAAAATGTCTGCTGGGGCTTCTGACTGAGGTAATTTGGAATAACAGTGTTCATGCCATATGGAAGGAATAACAATATTCTTTCAGTTCTGGGAGGAATCTCTTTTTAGCCCCTGGTGGAAATCAGCTTATGTAAAAATGCTTTCTGTAACAGAAGGTGCGAAAGGATGCATCGTAGTCCCAGCTGCCAACCAAATCTGTGGTTTGGCCGCCAGGGTTTGCTCTCCCCACCTCCACAAACGGGCTCTGTGGAAGGCTGAATTTTGACCTGGTGGATGCTCTTTCATAAGCTCTACCTCACCAGGGAAAACACCTCTCAGCTACTTTGGTAACGGATGAACTCTATACATCCATGTCTTCAGGGACAGGCATAACCAAGTAGTTTTGGGCAAGACCCATTTCTTTCATTGTTCAATAAGATAGTAAAGAATTACCCAATGAAATCATGACTAGATCTGTGAATGTTTTTCATGCATAGAGAAATCTCCCCATGGAGAGAGCATGTTCCAAAGGTTTCACTATCACTTGCTGATGGCACTTGCTTCTGAATCTTGCAAGTTCTTTACCAAGCACAGCCAATGAGGTAGTCTTGCCTTGTTTTTCACATGCTCATTGTTAATATTTCATCCCAGCCTGCACCTCCTTCATGCCTCTTCATTGCCGCGGCCAGAGGAACGGTACCCCTTACTCTTCAAAAGTTCTGTTACACAACTTTACTTTTTTGAAAGATCTACATTAGTAGCTATTTTCACTAACTGAAATGGAAATTTTTTCCTTTTACAACAAAACATCAAGAACAGGCACACAGTATTTTATTTTGCAGCTGCCATTACAGAAGAAGTGAGCATCTCAAACAGCAAGAGTGGACCACCCAGCTCCTTCTCCAGGAATCACTTTCTATGCGCTGTGCAGTCATCATATCCTTACTTTTACTATAGCTGAGTGTTGTTTTAGGTTTTATGTGTTATTTGCTATGGTTCAGTAGGCAATTTTGGGGGACTGGGAATACTAGAAAATGTTTCCATGTAAATTAATGGCAACTGCTTATTCGTTTTATGACTTTCTGGCTTATGAGAGCATTCATAGGGACACTTTTCAGAGAGCAGGGAAAATGTGTATCCTCTATCCTATGCTCCAAAATCTTTTACTCCAGCCCCAAGATGCTCTTCCAACCCTAAGTAGTCTCCCTCCACAGGTTCCTAATCTTATTTTGAATGTTCTGGTAGCTGAAAGAATTTCCCAAGAGGGCCAATATTCACCAATATGAGGTCTTCAGTGAAATACAGCTACCCTTATAACAAGTGCAGTTTGCAATTCTTTGTCTAACTTGGTCTCTCAAAACTTTGGTAGTAGTTTGTTTGACTGGGAGCCTTATCAAAACATAAACAGGTGACTAACATATCATGTATGCTATATATATATATACTTACATATATTTATACTATATACTTATAATGCTTAAAATTGAACAAGAAAATCTACAGCACTCTACTGTGTTTTTTGATCTCTTAAGTTTGCGATCTGTTTACCAGAAAGTCCAGCCTAAGTGGACTCGGTGACCTATGCGGTTCAAACCTGGGCTGTTCAAGGGTCAGCTCTACTTTCACTGATGCTTCCATATGGTAACATTGCCATTTACTCCAAGAAAATTTCTTACAAAGCTAACCTAAAGTGCTTATCTTTTCAGCTCTGTTGTTAGCAGTGCAACCTGGAAATTTGGTATCGGGAAGCCCATGATGATGCCTTCACATTCTGCATTCTGAACCTATACACATTGATAAAGTAAAAACTTGGGCAAGGAAGGGAAAGCTTCAGAGCCTCTGAAGTATTATTTGTAACGCTCTATTTTAAAAAACAGACAACTTTCATTAATTTGACCAGGTAACAATTGCCAGTATTTTCTAGATAAAATGTAGAAGCAACTGGAAAATAAAAAACAGTAAACACTCCCATACACCAAGAACAGATTTTCCCGAAACTTTTAGTTCTTTGGCAAAGCATATCTCATAATCAGAGTTCTTAAGTGTTAAACACGTTTTGGAAGTCAATTTTCTGGTTATAAAAAGTCAGCATTTCAGAACAAGTGCTGTTGAGAATCTTGTCTTCTGACTCAGTGTGCTAATCAGAGGAGACATTAGAGTTTACCAGAATTTACTCCATGGCATTCACCCAGGCAAATGAGTGACAAAACACAAAATAGGAAACATACTTAGGAAACTTATGTTTTTAATTACCACCAAACAGATTGGAAACTTAAAACATCTCCATTCCACTCTTAATTCCACTCTTAATTCTTCAAATCCACACTCTCAAAACCCGGGTTTTTAAGGGTTGTGGTTCCTAATCTTTATTCAAGCACTAACAAAACCTTTTGAGAATTTGACAAAAGCCAAACATCATTTTTTATCTAGGACAAATGATTTTGCATGTACTTGGAGAAAGCCTAGCCCCTTGAAGTCCAACCAGGAGTCTATGGTTAAGGAATTCTGCAGCGAAAGCCGAACAAAAGTATTTGTGTTGCCTCTTATAGCAGTCACTGAAATTCCCTCCCCACAATAGAGGAAGAGTAATCACAGAGAATCCTGACATTGTAAGACTCACAGCTCCACATCCCCCAAGGCCAAAGACTTCCAAACAGGTTTCCCAAATAACCTAATAGTACACAACCCTATGGAAAAATCCCCTTAAAAACAATTCACTGGCTATAGTTCCTATAAATTTGCCCTTGATGGGTTAACTCATGCACAGCGCTGTTAATGGCTCATGACTTGGTTGAGGGCATTACTGTACTGGGAGCTGTCAGATATACTACAAATTTTTATTTGATGTAAACCCGTAACACCCATATACTGTGCATTATTGTCCTAATTTTATTGATGCTTAAGTGCTTTCATTGAGATCACAAGGTTCAGTTACTCATTCAAACTCTTATGTGTGGAACTCTGAAGCCAGTGTAATTGAAGAAACATATTACATGCAACTTGAAGCTTCTACAAATCATCCCTGGCATCATAAACAGCCAGTGTTTTAGCCCTGAAGCCTACAGTCAAGAGTTTGACAGGTAGGATTTGCCAGCTGGTCATGTTCCTGCCTAGAGCTGAGTCTTCACCATGACCCCACCGCAGCAACTATGTGAAGAGGTATGAGAGGCTCCCTGCCACTCCATGCCGACTCCTCGACAAATAATGAAAAGTACGTCCCCTACTGTTATTCTTTCAGCAGTGATATTTGCACACTGTTCTCTAATGCCAGGGTGAAAGGCAGTGGCTGGAAATGGCAAGAGCACCATCCAGTGTAGAAACATAAACAACTTTAAAAATTATGGGGCGGGCACTCCCTGGTGGCGCAGCGGGTTAAAGCACAGCACTAAGAAGCA